GCTCGCATGAGGAAACTTAGTTACTTGGAGAAGCAAGAAGCAAAGTGTAATTGCTAGATCAAGTGCGGAGGCAGATATAGAGCTATGGCCCAGGGAGTTTGCAAACTGCTTTGGCTATAAAAGCTAGTAGAAGAATTGAGATTGTCGGGAAAAGGAAAACTTTCCTTGTACTGTGACAATAAGGATGCCATCAGTATAGCTCATAATCCAGTACAACATGACCGAACAAAGCATGTGGAAATTGATCGACATGTCATCAAAGAAAAAATTACAACGAGTGTCTTGGGTTTGTTTCATGTGCCATCGGAAAAATAATTAGCTGATGTGTTTACCAAGGGTCTCAACAAACGGACTTTTCATACACTGGTTTGCAAGTTGGGCATGTGCGACATCTTTGCACCAACTTGAGGGGGAGTGTTGATTGACTTAATTATTAGGAAAGATTTGATTCTTATTGAGATTTGATTTTATTTTGATCGATTGTAATTGACTGCAAATTGATTGTAATTTATTTTCCTTCCTAAAATAGTCATAGGCGTGTATAAATATCTTTGCTTAGGGATATAAGAAATACACAGAAATACAAAAAGCCTTTTCTTCGTCCCAAAAATCTACAGATAGTAACTAATTGAAATAGCAGCAACATCAGATAATACTAAGAATCCAAGAAAAAGAAAAACTAGAGTAATACTACAACTACCGAAATGGAAGGGAAGTACGCTCTACTACTACTAACCTTCTACCTAATCCTCGACCTCCACAAGCTCTTATCAAGTGTCATGTCCTCAGTAAGTTGAAGATGCACCATGTCCTGCCTAATCACCTCTTTCCAATACTTCTTCGGCCTACCTCTACCTCTCATTGGGCCCTCCAAGGCCAACCTCTCATACCTCCTTACGGCGGCATTTGTGCCTCTCCTCTTCACATGTCCGAACTATCTAAGTCTCGCTTCCCACATCTTGTCCTCCACAGGGCCCACGTGCACCTTGCACCAAATATCTTAATCCCTAAATTTATCTATCCTGGTATGCCTGTACATCCATCTCAACATCCTAATTTCTGCTACCTTCAGCTTCTGGACATGAGAGTTCTTGACTGGCCGAACACTCCATCCCATACAGCATAATCAGTCAAACCACTACTCTGCATAACTTACCTTTTAAGTCTTGGTGTCACATTCTTATCACACAAGACATCGGAAGAAAGCTTTCATTTAATCCATTATGCCCCAATACAGCGTATGACATCCTCGTCAAACTCTTCGTTACTTTGGATTACTGACCCAAGATACTTGAAACTTTCCCTCTTAGGGATGACTTGTGTATCAAGACTCATTTCTACTTCATCTTCATGAGTTGCGTCACTAAACTAGCACTCCATGTATTAGGTTTTAGTCATGCTCAGCTTGAAACCTTTAGATTCCAGAGTTTGTCTCCAAACATCCAGCCTAGCGTTAACTCCGTCTCGCGTTTCATCAATCAACACTATGTCATCTGCAAAAAACATGCACCATCGCACCTTCTCCTGAATATGTCATGTCAATACATCCATCGCCACGGCGAATAAGAACGGGCTAAGAACTGATTCCTGGTGCAACCCCATCATGACTGAAAAGTGTCCTGAGTCTCCTCTGACTGCTCTTACCCGGGTCATAGCTCCATCATACATATCCTTAATCGTCCTAATATATGCGATAAGAACACCTATAGCCTCTAAATACCTCCATAGAACTTTCTTTGGGGCTTTGTGCTTTCTCCAGATCAATGAGTACCATATGCAAATCGCTCTTCCTCTCCCTATACTGCTCCACCAGCCTCCTTATAAGATGAATGGCTATGTGGTCGATTGCCCCGGCATAAAATTGTGACAATTCGCATTTTTTAATATATAAAATTTGCTCCAGGGAAAGGACTACTATACAAGGATCGAGGACATGAACAGAAAGTTGGACACACAGATGTGGATTGGGGAGGGTCATGTAGAAACTTTAGTGTCTTAGGGAAGTAAAAAATATATATATATTTGCAAGATTGGAAGGAGAAGTTGAATACTGGCTATGGCAGTGGCAACTAGTGAGCTCTCATGAATCAAGCAACTATTGAAAGAACTCAAATTTGGAGAGATTAGTCAAATGGAACTTGATAACCATGTTGTCTTCACATTGCATCGAACCAAGTGCTTTATGAGAGGACCAAGCATATGGAAATTAATTGACAATTCAATTGACAAATCATTAGCGAAAAGATACTCCCGGGAGACATATCCACAGAAATAATAAAGTAAAATGATCAGCTTGTAGAAATATTCACCAAGTCCTTCACCAATCCTAGAACAAACTATATATATATAACATGCTTGATACGTGCGAGTTGTATGTGTTAGATAGTAGTAACATATATTGTCCCACATCAGAAAATAGCTATGTAGTATTATGTAACATTGTATATAAATAGGGGTATTGTAAAAACACTTAATTAATCAATAATACAATTTTCCTGTGTCATTAATTCTCACATGGTATAAGAGGAGGTAAGAAAACATCCGGGAAAGAAAACCCAGCCAAGCAATCGTCGTGCTTCAATTTCCGGCGACCTTTAAGGGTTGTTTTGCATTATCTCCCTTTTCTTCACTTGTGCAAAATCCAACACTACCACACGGTTCCCTTATCACAGGCGACAAAACCCAGTTGGTTTCTCCGGCAAAGACCCCTTCACGCACTCCCACGTGTCGGTAAGATTCTCGACTTCGGCAGCGCGTCTGACACACGCACTAGCGCGTGAAGCACATTCCGACCAGATTTTGACAAAAGTTCGTGGGGTGATTCCGCATACTATTTCTTATAGATTCTGAGAACTTTGGAATTTTTCGGCGAGCAACAGTCATTCCAAGTTGATGCCCTTGTTTCATCCATTCTAGACATGTCATTTAGTTTGATAAAAGACTCACACTTTATACACTAATGACATATCTCGTTTCTAAGATATGATATTGTAGATGACAAATTTGAAGAAACAAGAATTGGATATGTCTACTTACTTGGAACAAGTACAGGCAGTCATGGAAGAATTGAGAAGTTGATGCCAGTTTTTACTAGTGTTGAAAAGCAACAAGAGTAACAACAGAAGATGTTTGTAGCTCTTACACTCACGGGACTTCATAATCAGTGTTGTCAAAGGCTCATTTAAGGTGCGCTTAAGTCCTGAAGCTCAGAAAAGCTCAAGGAGGGCGCTTCGCCTCGCTTTAGTTGCGCTTCAGTGTAAGGCAAGGTACTAAGGCGTGCGCCTCATTGCCCATGAGTTCTCTCTTGAATCAAGCAGCACTAAAAAACAACTATAATCAGAAATAAGTGTATTAGTTGCTAAGGGAAACATTATAAATGAATTTGTTACTTTGTTCTTGAAATACATATAGATTTTTATTTATTTCCTTCATTGCGCCTTTTTTAACTAAAGCTCACACTTTAAGTGCGCTTTGCGCTTAAAGCCCAAATAGACCTAGAGCGCTTTTTAGACTTTTTCGCTTTTGACAACACTGTTCATAATGGCCTTGATTGAGTACGCGATCAGATTTGGCTAGTCCAACTGTCCCTACAATTGATGAATTATTCTCTCGAGTATTTCGCCTTGCTGCAGCGCCCAGTCACACAGTGATCTCATCATAGACAACTGACTCCTCTGTTCTCATATCCAGACAGTGGAAAATTGGGCATCTCAAACTATAGAGAGTAGACAAAAAGGAGGTCGTTTTGGAAAATTAGGCATCTCAAACTATGAAGAGTTTCTGACTTTTGATAGGTTTGAGACATTAGAAATGTATGTTCTTTTGTTAAAGTTTGAGCCTTTATCATGCATATTGATTCACGGGCTCTTATCGGTGCATTCATATAAATGCTAGATTTGTGCATATTAATGTATATATGCTACTTAGGTGCATTCGATACATGCATTGGACTTGATTAGATAAGATAGCATGTACTCTATCACATGTTAAATTGTGCATACTATGTATGCTTTATATGTGCATTGATTATAGGTGGTACATGTAAGACATGTAGTTAGGTGCAAAATATTATTATTATTATCGTCGTTGTTGTTGTTGTGCTTTATCTGTGCATTGATTATTATGATTATTATTATTATTATTATTATTATTATTATTATTATTATTATTATTATTATTATTATTATTGTTATTGCACAAATTTTGAGTATTTTCTATATTGACTCTCGCCACTACCTTGTTGGAGGCAGTCGACGATACTTACTGAGTACTCCCAATACTCACCCTACACATCTGCAACGTGTGTGCAGATACGGATTCGAGCTTCAGCCGAGTTCATGATTGAGCATTGGATGGCGATTCTTGTTCCAACAGTGAGTCAGCTATTTAGTTCAATGGTGACTTGGAGTGTCTTTCTTTATCTCCAGTTATTTCTGTTATTCAGACTGTGTTTGTATAAGGTAATCTTAAAAGCTCACGACTTGTACTACCTAATCTTGGTTTGTAAAGTTTGCTTCCACGTTGTAATCAATATTTAGAGATTGTTATTCTATTCATGTCTTATATTTAGCAATAAATCCACCAACAAAAAACGGTACCAGTTCGTGATTACAAAAATATTGGGGGAAAGAGCAAAATCCAATTACGTCGTTATACCAAAACTACATGATGTACCTAACTTTTTTGAGATTGTCTACCAACCTTGAACCCCTGACCTAGTAGTTTGGAGAGAACTCCCCAACCACTATGAACAAGGATGGCCGGTTACAGGATGTACCTAATATATGCAGATATGCAGCATCTTGTCCAATAGAAAAGGAAAAAAAATTCTCTGCGCCCAATTATGGCAGAACACAAGTCCAGCCTAGAGATATACATATATGAGTTCACTATTATCCAAAAAAAAAAAAGAATACACGTATAAGTTAATGTGTTGTATAAGAGCAAGGAAAATGTAGAAAGAAAAATGATGAGATAAAACTTTCCAAAAGCCTACTTACACATTCCGAATCCCCACTTTGGTGGAGCAGGTAGTCGTATCGACCACCTACTGCAAGCAATGTTCCTTCCATTAGTGATCCAAGATGGTCATCCTTTCTTAAATATATCTACACAGATAAAACATTGAAATGAGTAAATGAAACTGTGAGAAAGCACGGGAAAATATTATTGATATATTAACAATGATACAATGAGTGCTACATTTTATACATCTACTCCTACTACATATGGGATTAGGACTAATTATACATATACATATACTAATACTCCCCCTCAAGCCGGTGCATACAAATTATATGTACCGAGCTTGTTACATATGTAACTAATACGACGATCAGTGATGGACTTGGCAAAAATATTTGCAAGCTGATCATTCGACTTCACAAACTTTGTAGCAATATCTCTTGAGAGAATCTTTTCACTGACGAAGTGGCAGCCAATCTCAATGTGTTTAGTTCTTTCATGGAATACCGAATTTGATGCAATATGAAGGACAGCTTGATTATCACACACAAGTTCCATCTGGCTGATTTCATTAAATTTCAACTCCTTGAGCAACGGTTTGATCCAAACTAGCTCACATGTTGCCATAGTCATTGCTCGATATTCTGCTTTTGCACTAGACCGAGCAACCACATTATGTTTCTTGCTCTTCCAAGACACCAAATTACCTCCTACTAAAACACAATATCCAGACATAGAACGTCTACCAGAAGGTGATCTTGCCCAATCGGCATCTGAGTATCCAATGATCTGCTCATGGCCTCGATCCTCAAACAATAACCCTTTTGCCTAGAGCTAACTTTACATACCGAAGAATGCTGACAACTGCATCCCAATGACTATCACAGGGAGAATCAATAAACTTACTTACAACACTTACAGATGTCAGGTCTAGTCATTGTGAGGTAATTTAATCTACCAACCAGCCGCCTATATCTTACAGGATCACTAAGCGGCTCTCCCTGTCCTGGCAGAAGTTCAGAATTCGAATCCATCGGAGTGTCAACAGGTCTACAGTCTATCATTCATGTCTACTTTAGAATGTCTAAGGCATACATCCGTTGTGAGATCACAATACCTGAGCAAAACTGAGCTACCTCAATACCCAGAAATTATTTTAATCTGCCCAGATCCTTAGTCTGAAAGCGTTGAAAGAGATGTTGCCTCAACTTAGTAATATCAACCTGATCATTGCCGGTAATAACAATATCGTCAACATAAACCACCAGATAAATACAGAGATTTGAAGCAGAATACCTATAAAACACAGAGTGATCAGCTTCACTGCGAGTCATGCCAAAACCCTGGATAACTTTAGTGAACTTATCAAACCAGACTTGAGGAGACTGCTTTAGACCATAAAGTGACATACAAGGTCACTAGACTCCCCTTTAGCAACAAAACCAGGTGGTTGCTCCATATAAATTTCATCCTCAAGATCACCATGAAGAAAAGCATTCTTAAAGTCCAAGAGATAGAGAGGCCAATGGCGAACAGCAGCCATGGATAGAAAGAGGCGGACTGGTGCAATTTTAGCCACGGGAGAGAAAGTATCACTATAATCGAGCCCAAATATCTAAGTATATCCTTTGGCAACAAGACAGGACTTAAGTCGATCAACCTAGCCATCCGGACCAACTTTGACTGCATAAACTCAACGACCGTTAATAGTAGATTTGCCTGAAGGAAGAGGAACATGTTCCCAAGTACCACTTGCATGTAAAGCAGACTTCTCGTCAATCATAGCTTGTCGCCATTTTGGATGAGACAGTGCTTCACCTATTTACTTAGGGATGAAAACAGAGGACAAAGAAGATACAAAAGCATAATGCAGTAATGACAGACGATGATAACTTAAACCGACATAATGAAGATTAGGATTAAGTGTGGACCGTATACATTTTCGAAGTGCAATCGATAGACGAAGAAGAGACAAGTAAGTAGTAGGAGCAAGTGCAGGACGTGAATCAGCTGGGCTTGATGCTGGACGCAGACGATGATCATAAGTCAAGAGTAGTGTTCTTGTGGCTGGGCATTTAGGAGGAGCAACACTAGATTCCTTAACGGTCGTATGGGTAAGGCTTCTGTGACTGAGGATGTAGGAGGAGCTATAGTAAACTCCTCAAGAGTCGGTATAGGTAAGACCTCAAATATATCAAGGTGGTCAGAATAGGTAAAGTAAGATCTAGACTCAAAAAATGTGACGTCAGCTATCTTTCCCAAGGGTCAAGTGACAGGTACCTACGGAGATTTGGTGAGTAACAACGATATCCCTTCTGAACACGAGAATAACCAAGGAAGACACACTTGAGAGCACGAGGAGCTAACTTATCTTTCCCAAGGGTCAAGTGACAGGTACCTACGGAGATTTGGTGAGTAACAACGATATCCCTTCTGAACACGAGAATAACCAAGGAAGACACACTTGAGAGCACGAGGAGCTAACTTATCTTTCCCAAGGGTTAAGTTATGAACGTAACATGTGCTCCCAAAAATACGAGGGGGAAGAGAGTATAAGGGTTACTGGGGAAACAATACTGAATGTGGAATCTGATTCTAGATGGAGATGTAGGCATCCGATTAATCAAATAACAAGTTGTGAGAACTACATTGCCCCAAAAACGCAACAGAACATGAGACTCAATGAGAAGTGTGCGAGTAGTCTCAATGAGATGTCTATTCTTTCTCTCTGCAACCCCATTTTGCTGAGGGGTATAAGGACAAAATGTCTGATGAATAATTCCTTAAGAAGTCAAAAACTGCTGAAACTGATAGGATAAATATTGTAAGGCATTATCACTGCGAAAACTGAGAATAGAAACACCAAACTGATTTTTGATTTCAACACAAAAACTTTGGAATATAGAAAACAACGCAGAACAATCTTTCATTAAGAAAAGCCAAGTACATCTAGAATAATCATCAATGAAACTAATAAAATAACGAAATATCAAGGTTGAACTGACTCTACTAGGACTCCATATATCAAAATGAACTAAAGAGAAAATAGACTCTGCATGACTTTCAACACTACGCGGAAAGGTGGCTCGAGTATGTTTCCCAAGCTGACACGACTCACAATCTAATGTAAACAAACTAGACAAACTAGGCACCATCTTCTGAAGCTTAGATAAACTAGGATGTCCTAAACGTCTGTAAATTAGGTCGGGAGGATCTATAATTGGACAGGTTGTGGATGGATTGAGTGAGTCAAGGTAGTAAAGGCTTTGTGATTCACGCCATGTGTCAATTGTCTGTCCCGTACTGCGGTCCTGCTTAATAAAAAAATCATCATAAAATATATACCACAATGGAGGGCACGAGTCAAACGACTAACAAATGCAAGATTAAAAGGACAACCATGGACATAAAGAATGGAATCTAGAGTGACAGAAGATAGGGGATTAGCTTGTCCAACTCCTATTGCTTTAGTTTGGAACCCATTGTCTAAAGTAACATTGGGAAAAGACTGTGAATACACAATATTCGACAAAGGTGATTTATTACCATAGATATGATCAGAAGCGCTTGAGTCCATGACCTACGGTCCAAGACTACCAGACTGGGAAACACCGGCAAAAGAATTACCAGCAATCGAAGTATCAGTCCGAACAACCGAGGCTACTTGTGGAGATGTGTGCTTACTTGCTCGATAATGAAGGAACTCATTATATTCCCCTTCAGATAAAGAAAATCTTTGGTTACCAGTAGTCTCGGTCTGAGCAACATAAGCATTTTTGGGTGGTCGACCATGTAAAGAATAACACACTTCACGAGTGTGTCCAAGTTTATTACAATAAGAACACTTGGGCGGAGATCTTCCAAAACGACTTCCTCGCTAATTCACCACAGCATCAGATGTCCGATTTACCATTGTCTGAGATGCGAGAACAGAGGAGTCAACTGTCTGCGATGAGATCATAGTGTGACTGGGTGCTGCAGCAAGGCGAAGTAATCAAGAGAATAATTCATCAACTGTAAGGACAGTCGGACTAGCCAAAATCTGGTCGTGTACTGAATCATGGCAGTAAGAAGTCCAACGAGTGTGAGAACTAGAAACATTCTGTCGCTGCTCTTGTTGCTTTTCAACACTAGCAGTAACTGACGTCAACTTCTCAAATTCCTCCATGACTGCCTATACTTGTCCCAAGTAGACATATTTAATTCCTATTTCTTTAAATTTGTCATTCGCTATATCACATCATAGAAACGAGATATATCGTTAGTGTATAAAGTCCGAGCTTTTTTCCAAACTGAATAACATGTTTGGGATGGATGAAACAAAGGCATTAACTTAGAATCAATAGATCGCCACAAGAGACTACAAAACTGAGCATAATTCTTCTCCTACTATGCTTTGGTTTTAACATCTCCATCGCTAGTCGTTTTGGTTAAATGATCTTGAACACCTTGACCCTTGCACCACAACTCAACTGATAAAGCCCAAACTAAGTATTTTAAACTTCCTATTAAGGGTTCTGAAGTAATCACAAGACTCGAATTTCCAACTCCTATATTTTTGGAACCAAAAGCAACAAATTCGAGAGACATGATTGGATTGAAGAGAGGGCAAGCAAAATATTAGCAAATAACAGAAAAGCAAACCTGCCGGAAAAATTAGAAACAGTCACCGAAATCTGGAAATTTTCGCCGGAAACCGGAAATAATTGCCGGAAAATAAAAAAAGTCAACGGACTTTGGTGTAACCTGGATGGGTAGGCTCGGAAACACCTCGCGACCAAACTGTCCTCAAGAAATTTTGCCGGAAAGTGGCGGGAAACAACCGCAAGCACCGGCGTGTGGGACAGATGCGCCGGCGGAACTCTAGACGGCGCGTGTGACGTCTGTTGCCGGAGATTCTGGCTGGGGTTTGCTAGCCAGAGGATGCTTAACCTTGTGGTGGTGTTGGTTTTTACATAGCACCAACAGAAAAGGGACTGACACCGGAATTCGCGCAATGACTATAATTTTTTCCGGAGTCGCTGATATTTTTGCACAGCGATGAATCTCTCACGTTAGCTCTGATACCATGTGAGAAACCACGAAAAAATATTTCTGATGTATTAACAATGATACAATGAGTCCTATATATAATACATCTACTCCTACTACATATGGGATTAGAAC